TTCGGGGGACCGGCCCAGGCAGAAAAAAGGTTGCCTACCCCTGGTTTAGAGCTTCAGATGACATGGGACTCCCTTAGATTTCTGTGTGTATAATATTAAACAGGTTTATCTTTCTCTTGCTAAAATTGACTTTGGATGTTTATTTCTAGTGAAGTCAAATATGCAGAAAGCTCTGAAGCTGCTAAAGACAGAATTGTGAAGAAAGAAAACAACAAACACTTCCACTTCTAACTCGGCTCTGAAAACTGTTCTCACTATAGAGAATATGTAGGTTAACCGTGAATATGCATATACTATGCATAAGCTCCCACAGGAAAACTGTGTTATAAATATTCATTTGAAGCTTTGTGTGACATTAAGTATTGATTGCTTTTATAAATGAGAAAAACACTGTATGCTTTTTTCTACAAATCAGGATAAAAATAATAAATCAACATTATGTTGTTTAGAAAAATGCTGTCTATTTTATATTATGATCTTGTAAAGAACCACCCATATATTATCCCAACCTGCAAAAGTAATGCAAGACTCTTAATAGACATGCTGTTCCAATGTGACAAACAAGAATGAATGGAAGAAGCAAAACATTAATGGTATAAAACATGATTGCACATAGGTAAAAGCATTTCAGGTTCACTCCCTGACATCTCCATGTAGGGCCCGGAGTCTTTTTCTAAAACCTGGAAGTGACAATCAGTTTTTAAAACTGAGAAAAGCATCATACCTCTGGGGGGCGGAAACATATGGACAGCAACTGACAAAATACCAGATTATGGCCATTGGCAACTGACAAAATACCAGATTATGGCCCCCCAGAGGTATGATGCTAAAGGTGGGATTCTGGAAATTATAATTCTCCAAATGCAACTTTCCCAATTAATGGGGAGAACTGCAAAGCAGTATTGTCCACCAGATAGAAAATCTGGCCTCTGGGGAGATACTTCACATTAAGATTCCTTTTGTCTGATAATTTGCCAGATGCTTTTTTCAGACAGCGAATAATTCAGATCTGATCCACAAGAACC